GGGGGGGGGGGGGGGGGGGGGGGCCAGAGGTGGCAGCAGCTGCCACGCGGAGGCTCATGGGACAGAGGAGAGGAACGGAAACAAGGGAACAAGGCAGCCGGCCAGGGGGCCGAGAGAACGCAGCGTCACGAAGAAAGCAGCAAGGGAACGTGCATATGACAGACAGACCAGTGTGGGGCGGCCTGTCACGCGTCGACGAGCGCAGTGCCTAAACCCCGGAGGAACGGATCGAGGGGAGCGTCTCACTCCGATTGCTCGGGTGAAACTCTCTCGCCGCAGTCCGCCTCCATTGAGCAGGAAGCCAGCCGCCATCCGGCTGCAAAACAAAGACACAGACAGAACACCGAGATGCGAACACCGACTCGTGGCGGGCGTGCTTACGGAGAGTCAAGCCGGGGTGCTGCTGCTGGATGTAGGCCACCAACTGACAGGAAATGTGACACAGACACACACACACACACACACACACACAGAGGGAGAGAGATGTGTATTGCGTGTGATGGAGGAGGGTGTGTGTTGTGTGTGGACATGGTTGTACCTTGATGGGGTCGGTGATGGGGGCTGGGTGGCGAGGGCGGCGTGGGCACGGCCTTCTCGGCCTTGTCAATGACGCCACGAAGCTTCGTCGCCTGCCGCTGGTGCTCGTCGGCCTCCTTGGTCTTGTCGGCGAGCTGCTGGTGGAGCTGGCGGGTTAGCTGCCGCATATCATTGATGTTAGCCTGCAGCCTCTTCATCTGCTGCTGCTGGGAGGCGACCTGCTGGCGTGCTGCCGCCAAATCCACTACACGCGATTGAAGGGCGGCGATCTGAGGAAATCGGGAAGAGTCCTCTGATGATTGGCTGTGGGGGTATGACCGGATTGGGCACACCAGCAGCAGCCGCAGCTGCTGCTGTCGGCCCTCCGAGAGACACCAGACCGCCCCCGCTGGGCGTCACTGGCAATCGCCTGGCAACAGTCAGAGGGGCGGGTGAGGGCGGGGGCGGCAGAGTCGACGGTGCGGTCGGCTGCCCTCTCCTGATGTTGGTGGACGTCTGCCGCAGGATGTTGGGCACGGCTGGCGGCGCAGTTGTGATGGGGCGGAGGTCTTTGCTCTGGCTTGGGGGCGGGGGTGAAGGCCATGATGCTGGCAATGTGGGATCATGGCTGGACTCGAATCTCGCCACCCTCGCAGCTGAAGAGCAAAAGATCCATCAAACAATGCAGCGACTCGTCAACCAAATTGCACTTGTGTCTCACCGATGCATCGATATTCCTTCACGATGATATCGATGACACCGCTGCTTGACGACATGGACCTCAACTGCCGCAGCTCTCCATTGCACAACAGGCCCATCTGGCTGGATCCCTTTTTGTAATGACCGCTTACCGCGTGGATGGCCGTGATTAACTCCATGGTGCAGCCCGTTCTTACGCGGTAATACACCCGCCAAGCCTTCTTCCAGTCCTCAAATTTGACCGCAGTCCGTGGCAGGAGGGTGGTCCCAAGAATCGGCCCCATCCGTTGGGACGAATTGTAGATCCTGAAATCGTCAACAGACACAAGGTGGGCAGCAAGAGTGAGCCAATCATGTGCCTTCATGCATACCTCATGAATTTTCATAGACACATGCCACAGTTCAGATCCCGAGTCCCCCAGCTGCTGGCAGGGCACGCCGGGAAGTGCGGTCCACCCGCCGCCCTCCAACGAGTGGTGAACGAATGGCTACCGCCAACCACTCACATAAACGATGTGGCTCTAGTTGGCCTTCCTGGCAGCCCTTTCCACCCGCCGCACCACCCGCCTCACGGCCCGCATCTCCTCCGAGCGCAGATATTCTATTGGCTGAAGGAGACACAGTGAGCCACCGAGCTCAGTGGATACCTATTACTTTCTCATCGTGCACTTACGGCGGGTCCGTCTCTGAATCTTGATGGCCGCCTCCTCCTCCCGCCAACTGCACAAGGTACGGACCGTACCTGTGTACAAAACGTACACGCCCGGCTGGCCAATGCAGTACTGGGCGGCTGACAAGACACACATACGACCCAAGGCGAATGACCGTCGGATAAGGAGGTCTATCTTGTACGTGCAATGTCGTCGTGCATTGCGTACCGTTGGTTGACTGTGGCGGGTTGTCCCAGCTGCTGCCGCCGTCATTCATGACAAACTCCAGCTCCTGCACATAGCAACAAACGCAGCAAACAGCGATCATCTGGGTATGTGGTCGCTGATATCGATCTACAATCTGGCCACCTCCTGGTCGATGCGGTTGAGCGCCAGGGGCTCCCCACGCGGGGACTGCTCTCCCCTCTCTCCCTCCCGCCCTCCCTTCCTCAGTAGTCAGACAGCAGCAGCAGTAGTCAGACTGGCTGATTGGCGCCAGCCAGAAAGACAGACGATGAAGCAGGCTCACAGACGATGAAGTGACAAAAAGACACACCCGGAGGTCGTCTCGCTATTGCTGCAGCGGCTGCACGGTTGCAGCTCAACGAGGCGCCTGTTGAAAGATGTGTTGACGCTGCCGTAATACGAGTGCCAGCAAATGACGGCAAGACAAACCACAAACGATAATGCAGCGATGAAAGGGGAAGAAAGAGCAAGAAGGCAATGGAAAGAAACCCGCAAGGGAGAGCAGGTCACGTGGCAAGAGAAAAGGGGGGCCCGTCTCAAGCGCGCGAATTCTCGCTCGGCGTGAGGGAGCCTCTGCATCGACTGCCTGTTCGGCGCAAACACCGCCTCTCAGCATCATGGACGTGCGTCAGGTGAGCCAGCAGCCGTTAGGGACAGGCTTTCTTCATCAGATCTGATGATTGTCATCCATTCTCGTGTGTGTCACGTGTGTGTGCAGGTCAAAGGAGGGTACGCGAGCAGTCGAGGAGGGCCTGCGGCACCTGCAAGAGCTCAACACAACGGTGCGCCTGCCCGCCTGAATGAAACAAGTCATCGCCTCTCTGTGTATGTGTCTTCCTTGCAGCTCGGCGCGTTGCGGTCTCACTTTGAGCAAGCGCATCCTCCCAGCCTCTCTGGACAGGTATGTCAGACACACTGCTGCATCGCTCTCGGACACTGCTGCTGTCGATTTATACGCAGGCGTCGGCCGGCTTATTGGAGCTTCGTGTGCAGCATGCCCTCGTCAGCTCCCACATCGCCACGGCACAGTCGCAGCTCACGCGCACACATGAGGACGTGTCGCGGGTGGTGGATGCACTCAAAGCGATCCTGGCGGCCGCACCCAATCCCGCCACTCAGGATGATGCCGAGGTGCGCACAGCAGATGGCGACAGCACGACACTCTTCATGTGTGTATCTGTTGGTGCCTCTTGCTCTGTATCCTGCAGGCACCTGCAGTGAGTCGTCCGTCGTTTCGCCTCGTCTACAGAAGCGGCAACTCTCCCCCCGTCAACCAAAAGGACCGGTAAGAACGACACCATGACAGATGACAGATCTAACACATCGAAACCATCTTGACCTTACTTTGATGTCATGTTTGTTGTCACTTCAGGCCCGTCGTCGGCTGTCCCGCGACGAGCTGGCCAACGTGTTCGGCCACCTGCATCCATGGGAGCTGACGCCCCTCTGGCGCCGCCTCGGCACGCCCATCTTCCACGAATCCGCCGCCAACTACACCCACCTGGTCATCGACTGTGAGGACGACACGAAGAGGCGGATGTGGGAGGCCATGACGCTGGCCGTGGCCCACAAGTGGGGCAAGAGGGCGACCAGCATCCGAGAGATCAAGCACCGCTATCCCACGCGGTGGAAGGGGCTTTGGGGGGGCTGGTGTCGCGGCACCTGGGTGGCCTTGGTCGAGGGTCACGGGCGTGGCCGGGCGGCCATCGCAGAGAAGAAGAGACGAGAGAGAGATGCAGGGGAGGGGATTGCTGCCGCGCCACGGCAGGACGATGACGGAGACCGGTCGGCTGACAAAGGCACATTGGAGATGCTGTCATTCGAGGAGGTCGAGTCATTCGAGGAGGTCGGGCTCGACGACAACATTTACATGACCTACCCGCCCCCCTCGTCTGCCCTGCCCCGCGCCCCCACCGCCCCCGTCCACCTGCCGGCACTCAAGACGATCCGCAGCAGAGACGACGAGTGCCTGACTGCTCGTGTGGACCGCCAGTGGCACACACCTGCCGTCAAGACGCTCATCACCAGGGACAGTTGGTTGGCTAGCTGGGTGAAGGGCGGAAGGGCATGGGTGAGGGACTGTGAGGCCATCGAGGTGCTGGACCTCAACGGACGGTACGCCGATCACGCGGCCCGTGTGCTTAGTGGGGCTCCCACTGACGGCAAGTCGTTGGCGGCGCTTCGCACACTTCGAGGCGTCGGGATGTATTGGAACCGGCCCGCCGACATCGACAGGCTGCGTGAGGTGAAGGTGGCGAGGGGCGTCAGGCAGTCCATTCGCGAGCTCGAGATCGAAATGGGGTGGATGCCGAGCACTGATGCAAGTGTGGAGTGCTCGCAGAGGGTCGCACAGCTCATGTAAGGACGCAGAGAGAGAGAGAGAGAGAGAGAGGAAGGGGGGAGGGAGAGGGGCTGAAGAGCGACAGTGCCAGTCATTCCTGTGCTTTGCCTTCGATCAGCGACGCCATTGCTCGTCACGAGGCAGTGGAGAAGGGCGTCTTCGCACTCAACAACGACAGCACGTGTGGAACGATTGACGCGGAGCTCCTCTCGCGCAGCAGCACCGGCCCCGCCGCCGTCCAGCAGATCATCAACCAGTTCGCCAAGAGAGCCCTCACCGTGGTGTCCGGCGGAGAGGACGAGGCCGTCCGTGCAACCATCACCGACGACACATTCCCCGCCGCCCACACCCTGCTGCTGATCGGCGATGCCCTCGACGATGAGGCCAAGAAGAAGCGGACGGTCGAGATCGCCTCCAACACGCCCAGCCTGTCGTGCGTCAAGGCAGGAGACAAGGAGCACGGCGTGGAGCTCCTTGGACCTGCTGGAGAGGTGTGGGTGTTCCTCGAGCGGCTGCAGGCGGCGCTGGTCAGCCGGGGGCGGGAGAGGAGCCTGACGCTGTGCCTCGACCTAGTGGCAAACGAACTCACAGCACCCGTGCACAGCAAAAGCAGCCCCTGTCTGTGGGGGCGGGACAGCAATGACAAGCTGCCGCCGGTCGAGGAAGTGACGATGACCGTGTCCGGTAAGGGGATGAGGGCGCAGGGGAGAACCAGCAGCCATGGCGTCTGTGTGTGTTCATTCACAGTAGGCTTTGTAGATGATGACCAGTTTGAGACCTTTTACAGTAACGTGATTGCCACGATCACCTCATTCAATGACGAGCTCAAGGTAACGCAACACAATACACCATACAGACACAGCTGTCCGGCGATGTGGACATGTCGTTCGTCCTCTTGGCTGACGGACAGGGCCACAAGAAGACATATGTGGAGTTGTTGAGCGGCAACCTGCGCACCGACTTCCAGCAGCGTTTCATGGCTCAGCAGGCGGGCCTCAGCCTCCTCAGCGGCGGACCATACAAGGTCAGCCTCGATGCAAACGGGCTGTGTGTCGAGCGCCGCAATGCCGCCACATAGGTAGGAAACACATCACACACACCACCACCCACAACGTGTCTTGAGTGTCTGGCTGGCCGGCCGTGTGTGTCGCCTGTCAGATGGTCACTCAGCGGCCCATGAAGGTTGCTGAGAGAGCTGTAGATGGATGGATGGATGGATGCTGGGCGACAACACCTTGACGGTGTGCAGCGTAGAGCGGTGGGGTGGGAGGACAGCCAGACAGCTGGATGAGTGAGTGGCTGGTTAGCGGGAGGAGATGGCCTCCCTCGCAGCCACCACGCCCCACTGTGGTTGGCTGTGCGGTGTGTTGCTGTGGGTGTGCTGAGAGCTTGATGCGTGTGCATATCGATGGTGCATACAAACACGCCTGACTGACTGAGTGGCTGCGGTTTGATGCCTGCATCCTCCAGATCACACACGTGGATGTCTCCACTGGGCACCAATCAGCCAGCCGGTGGGTCGGTCAGTCAGTCACATCACTCCACATGGACACACCAAAGCCTATCAAAGGCACACTTTAAAAGCTCTGGCGCTTCAACCCCCTCTTGCCACACGCCAGCAAGGCAGTCATTCCAGGTCAGCCGCAAGGGAGAGGAGGCAGAAGCGCACACGTGTTCATTGCACTCATTTATCAATGAACCCAACAGACAGACAGACAGACAGACAGACAGAGACAGCCAAAGGTGAGTGAGTGAGACATCACTTTAATTGACTGGCCGGGCTGCAGGAGTTGAAAGAAGGAAGAGACTGGCAACGCGGCAACGCATGTATCGGCCGCTAGGTCAGATTACAGTAGAATACGTAGAGCATTACCAACATACGATCCCTCCATGTTTGTGTGTTGTCAGATCTGACGGCTGAATGGCTGCGATTTAATGGCAGCTGTATTGATAGCGGGATGGACAGGTGGCGGACAGATAGACAAAGAGACAGACGCACCGCCCTCCTTTCCCCATCAACGTGCGTGTGCATCTGCGATGGAACACATGGAATGGATGGGTGCGTTAGGGAGGATAGATGTTACATACTGCCTGGGTGAGGTGTCTCACGCACCAATGGCTGTGGTCGATTGCCACATCACAATAATGGAACCCTAACGCACAAGGCACGCCAGCGATTTTGGAGGATTTAGACTCATCGCAGGGGCGTGATTGCTGCCGCCTTTGCACTTTGATAGCTTGTGGCTGGTTTCCGTCGCCAGACACACATGGACTGATCTGATCCGCCATGGACGTCAGTCAGGTGAGTGCGATGAGCGGGAGGGCAGAGGATGGATGACACAGGAGCACAAAAGAGAGAATCCAGACGGAGAAAGGCCTTCACTGCTTTGCTGTGTGTGTTGGCTTGGCGTCCCCTTTAGCTTGTTGTTGCGAACGCACAGGCTGTGAAGGACAGCTTGGTGAACCTGCAGCCCATTCAGGACAGGGTACGCCGCACGATGTCATTTCCTTGCCGCTTCCTCGGCTGCACAGTGCTGTGTGTGGTGTGTGGTGGTGTGTGTGGTGTGAATAGATCATAGCACAGTTGTCGCGCCTTCTTGAGCAAGACGCCGCCAGCATCGCTGCACAGGTGGGTCAAACTCACTGGCGGATAAACGCGCCGGTCACTGTGCGGTCCTCTGTGTGATTCATTCGGTCTTCAGGCGTCGTCTCCGGAGGCATTGGTGCTCAATCATCAGCTGGGCTCGATGGCCTCCCTGCTGAATGCACTCACCACCCAGCTGGAGCAGGGAGAGCCCGGCCTGACCGGTGCTGTGGATGCACTCACACCGACCACGGAGGCACAGCAACACCCAGAGGCACAGGTGAGATCAATCAGCGGGTGAAGTGGCCGGCCATCGCTACGCAGGGATCTCTCCATTCTGCATTGCTGTGCTGGTGTTGTAGGCTCCCGTAGTCGCCGGCCCATCATATCGTCTGATTCATCGAAGCGACAACGCACCACCCGTCGAAGGACCGGTCAGTCCGCCACCATGACAGATCTGACATCTAAACCATCTTGACCTTACTTTGATGTCATGTTGATTATCACTTCAGGCCCGTCGTCGGCTGGCTCGCGACGAGTTGGCCAACGTGTTCGGCCACCTGCAGCCCTGGGAGCTGACGCCCCTCTGGCGCCGCCTGGGCACGCCCCTCTTCCATCAGTCGGCCGCCAACTACACCAAACTGGTCATCGACTGTGAGGACGACACGGCGGGGCGGATGTGGGAGACCATGCCACTCGACGTGGCGCACAAGTGGGGGCAGAGAGCGGCTAATTTGCGAGAGATCAAGCACCGCTATCCCCACTGGCGAGAGGGCTGGTGTCGCGGCACCTGGGTGGCGCTGGTGGAGGGTCATGCCATCGGGCGCGCGGCCATCGCAGAGAAGAAGAGACAAAAGAGGGAGGGAGGGGAGGGGGCAGCTGCCAGTGCTGCTGCGGTGGGGCAAGATGATGATGACGGCAGCCGGTCGGCTGACGAGGGCACATTGGAGGTGCTGTCATTCGAGGCCGTCGAGCTCGACGACAGCATTGAAATCCCCGACCCGCCCCCCTCGTCTGATCTGCCCCCCGCCCCCACCGCCCCCATCCACCTGCCGGCACTCACGACGGTCGACAACATAGCCAACGACTGCATGTCGGCTAACGACTGCATGCCGGCTCGCGTGGGCCGCCAGTGGCACACACCTGCCGTCAAGTCGCTCACCACGCAACTGTTGCGGTTTCCGGCACAGAAGGGCGGGAGGTCATGGCTGGAGGACTGCAAGGCAATCGAGGTGCTGCACATATACAGCGGGGGCCGCAGACGACATGGCCGATTTGCTGAGTGGGCCCCCCCGCTGACGGGAAGTCGTTGGCGGCGCTTCGCATACTGCGAGGCGTCCAGATGGATTGGAGCAGCCCCGTCGCCATCGACGAGCTGCGTGAGGTGATGGTGGCGAGGGGCGTCAAGAGGTCCATTCGCGAGCTCAAGATCCGCATGTGGTCGATGGCGAGCACTCCACATGATGTCAAGCGGTGCCAGAGCGTTGCACGGCTCATGTAAGGACACACACACACACACACACAGAGAGAGAGAGAGAGAGAGGGAGGGAGAGAGGCTGCAGAGACACCGTGCAATTCATTCCTGCGCTTTGCCTTCGACCAGTGACGCCATTGCTCACCGCGAGGCAGTGGACAACGGCGTCTTCGCACTCAACAACGACGGCACGTGTGGACGGATTGGCGCGGAGCTCCTCTCGCGCGGCAGCACCGGCCCCGCTGCCGACAAGATCATCAACGAGTACGCCAAGGCCGCCCACACCGTGGTGTACGGCGGTCTTGACGAGGTGTACAGCGGAGCAGACGAGGCCGTCTCTGCGGCCATCAGTGACGACACCTTCCCCGCCGCCCACACCCTGCAGCTGCTCGGCGATGCCCTCGACGATGAGGCCAAGGAGAAGCGGGCGGTCGAGATCGCCTCCCACATGCCCAATCTGTCGTGCGTCGAGATAGGATCCCATGAGCACGCTTTGCTGCTGGATGCACCTGCTGGTGAGGTGTGGGTGTTCCTTGAGCGGCTGCAGGCGGCGCTGGTCAGCCGGGGGCGGGAGAGGAGCCTGACGCTGTGCCTCGACCTAGTGGCAAACGAACTCACAGCACCCGTGCACAGCAAAAGCAGCCCCTGTCTGTGGGGGCGGGACAGCAATGACAAGCTGCCGCCGGTCGAGGAAGTGACGATCACCGTGTCCGGTAAGGGGGGATGGGGGCGCAGGGGAGAACCAGCAGTCATGGCGTCTGTGTATGGGATGTGTTCATTCACTGTAGGCTTTGTAGATGATGACCAGTTGGAGCAGTTTTACGACAACGTGATGGCCACGCTCATCTCATCCAACGACGAGCTCAAGGTGAGTGACATAGAACACCACACAGACATAGCTCCCTGAATGTGTATTTGTCGCTCGTCCTATCTGCCCTGCAGGGTCACGAGAAGACCTATGTGGAGTTGTGGGACGATGAACTGCGCACCGACTTCCAGCGGCGCTTTATGGCTCAGCAGGCCTCTCTCAACAACAGCGGCGGACCCTACAAGCTCAGCTTCGATGGCCAGGGGCTGCGTGTCGAGCGCCGTAGTGCCGCCACATAGGTACGACACACATCCCACACACCACTGCCCACGACGTGCCTTGAGTGTCTGTCTGTCCGGCTGTGTGTGTCGCCTGTCAGATGGTCACTCGGCGGCCCATGAAGGTCGCTGAAACAGGCCTAGATGGACGGATGGCTGCTGCTGGGAGATAGCACCTTGACGGTGTGCAGCGCAGAGCGGTGGGGAGGACGGACAGACAGACAGACAGATGAGTGAGTGACTGGTTTGTGTGGGAGGGTGGGAGGGGAGGGCTTCCCTCACAGCCACCGCGGCCCACTGTGGTTGGCTGTGCGGTGTGTTGCTGTGGGTGTGCTCAGAGCTTGATGCGTGTGCATGTCGATGGTGTGGACATACACACCTGACTGACTGAGTGGCTGCGTTTGATGCCTGCATCCTCCAGAACACACACGGATGTCTTCAGTGGGCACCAATCAGCCAGCCGGTCGGTCGGTCAGTCAGTCACATCACTCCACATGGACACACCAAAGCCTATCAAAGGCACACTTTAAAAGCACTGGCGCTTCAACCCCCTCTTGCCACACGCCAGCAAGGCAGGCAGTCACTCAAAGTCAGTCGCAAGGGAGAGGAGGTGGAAGCGCACACGTGATCATTGCACTCAACACATCAATGAACCCATGCCAAAGTGAGTGAGACATCACTTCAATTGATTGGCTGCAGGAGTTGAAAGAAGGGAGAGAATGGCGGCGCGGCAACGCATGTATCGGCCGCCAGGTGTGTCAGATGACAGTACCGAAAGTAGCGATGCAGACTGAGGGGCGAGGGAAGGAGGAAGGGTTGCATGACGGCAGAAGAACGTGGGGCATTCTGGCCCTTTTGTTAGTCGTTGACTGGTGTCCAGGGGTGTGGCTGTGCGTGCATGGGTGAGTGGACTCTGTTTGCAGTGATCCGCTGAAGCATTCATTCGATATGCATTGCAGACACAGACAGACAGCCAGTCAATCAATCGAACACACACACACACACACAGACAGACACAAAGTTTGTGCGTCACATGAAAGCAAAGCGAGAGCATGACTTTCTCTATGTGGAGGTATGTACATAATGGCCGGCCACCTGATCAATGCGGCATACAGCAGAATGGCGAGGGACAAGTCTGTGTATCAGCAGCACCCCGCCCATCCCTCTATCTATCACCCGTCGACAGCCATGGCCATCCGCCGCCTCTCCTCCGCCTGGAAAGCAGCCATCGCCTTGGCATGGTCCACGTCTCCATACGATTCGCCTCTTTTGCGCCACTTGGTCAGCTCGTTGTCGCAGAACAGATTGATGGGCAGCAGACGCTTCTTGCGACAGCACTGCTGCAAGTAGTTGTTGTCCTTCCCCAGCCTGGCGCACACAGCACACACGCACACACGCGCACACGCACAGACACAAAGAATGGCCGTGTTTTGTGAACACAAGGACACACACGCCCCTTTGGTATGTATGTTCGCCTTGCCCACCCAGCCACCCACTTGATGACGGGTATGCACCTCTTGAGAGCCTGCTGGACTAGGTCCCTGCTATTGGAGAAGTAGGCAGTGTCGATGATCAGAGTGGTGGTGGGGTGCACCACGTCCCCATTGGCACCCAGCCACTGACCTTCACATTCACACACACACACACACAGAGATAGAAATCCGGCACATGGCGAGGCGTTGGTTGAGGTCCACAGATTCCCTGACCTTTCAGCTGCTGCACCACCAGCGTCTCACTCTGCATATCGGCATTCTCTATAGGGCCGAACTTCTGCACACACACCACACCACACAGCACACGACACGACACAGCCATCGGTACACATATGCGAGTATAAGTGGGTTGTTTGTGGCGCGACTGTCAGTACATTCATTAGTCACTTACCTACCTGGACCACCAGGGACCTCAACTCCACTTTGTCGATCTCCTTAACCTTCACCTTCCCCTTGGCGCCGCGCCTGCCGACCACTGCACTTTGCCCTGACGACTGGCTGGGCGAAGGCTGTGGCTGCCTGACGGACGGTTGGTCGCGGGGGCTGGTGCTGGGCGGCGAGAGACTCGACGCGGCCTCGTTCTCCCTCTGCTCGTGGTCCGATGCTCCTCGGTGCTGGTCACGGGCTCTGGCGATGGCGTTAGTGGTCTGCTGATGGGGGTCTGTCGCGGTGTTGGGTGGCACGTTGACTTCGGCATCTGGTTCCATGTCCTTTGCCGGCATTGGATGATCCGCTTGGCTCGCGTCATCGGCTGCAGCAGCTGCGTCGCCTCCCTGTGCCGTCGCACGCTGGTCTGCAGGTGGATCGGCGGCGGCGTCTTGAGAAAGGTCCTCGGTCCCCTCACGCGCCGATGCGACAGCAGCCTCGTCCACACCACAGCCATCTGCCGCCTCTGCATCCGGTTCTCGTGGCATGCCCTCTGGTGACGCTTGGGGCATGGCTGTGCCGGGCTGGTCGCCCGGAGCATCAGCAGCGTCGCCCTCGTCGTGCGGCCGGTCGGCTGACGCAGCCGCAGCTTCCTGGCGAGGGCTCTCGCAGTCGTTTCGCTCATCTGGACGGGCAGTAGGTGGAGGAACAGCATCGTCGCATGCGGCGCCACTTGCCGGCATGTCGTTGTGCGGTGTCTGGTGCATCATCTCGGTCTTGTTTTCTTGCGCCTCGCGGTCGAACCGGTGCAGCCACTGCATGCGCCTCTCCTCGAGCTGACGCGCAATGTCCTCCTGCCGTGCCGCTGCCTCCAGACGCACACCATCACTGGCACCAGCGGCAGCAACATCTTGCAGACCATCAGGTGCTTGTTGTTCGCCATCGGGGTCCCCCGGCTGCTGGTCCGCACGCTCTTGAGGGCCGGCAGCAGCTCCACTGGCACTGGGCTGCTCCCCAGAGGGGAGTTGATACTCCTCACCCTCACCCCCGCCAGCCATGCCTTCCTCTTTGGCCTCTTCCACATGCTGCTGCTGCTGCTGCCGGTGGCGGTCGCCGTCATCCTTATCGTCAGCAGCAGGCCCATCTCCATCACTCATGTGCTCTTCTGGGCCATCAGCAGCGGTTGGGGATGGGCGAGAGGGACGAGGGGAGCTGTCACGGGGCTCACGGTGCGATGAGTGCGGCTGGTGGGAGGGGGCCTGGTGGGAGTGGGCGCGTGGGGCGAAGAAGGACATGTCGTCGTGCATGTCGTCGTGGATGCGGGCTCGCGCTGCGCGCTGCAGACACACACAAGGGAACAGAACATATCATTCACAGTATCGTTTGCGATCGGTGGTACCTACCTTGCCTCTGCGGCCTCTGCCCGCATCTTGCTGCAGCAGACTAGTCCAGGTGCCTGGGGTACGCACAGCCTGACAGACACCAACACAGGTCACAAAACCGGTTAGCGGGCAGGCTTGATTAAGTGCAATGCATGCATGCACATGTCATGCGTTGGAGGAAATCACCTAGCTACAGACCTGTGGCCTCTCCCAGAAGGGAACGCTGTGGCCGTCGAGGTGCACGTGGTACTGAATGACACGGCCATCCTCACCAACAGACACATCAGCTATGGTGCCGCTGATGGACGGCACACACACACAGGGGGGAGAGGGGAGGGGGGCAGTGATACACAAGCAGGTGACGAGCCAGCACACCGTGTCCTGAGTCGATTTCTTACGTGATGGGAACGATTGTGTTGCGGCCTGAGAACACCTCCACCCGATGGCCAACGGCAAACACATCCAGCTGACAGCAGGACAGCATAGACAGACAGCACAGCCCAGCACTCCATGCCTCCTCGCACCACGAGCGACCGGCACTGCATGCCTTCCCGCCCCTCACCTGACCTGATCTACAGGTCTGTCAAACTCCGCCTCAACTGCCGTCACCGGCCGCTCATCCACACGTGGCCCAAACAGATCCTGACCCTCGTACTCATCCTCCCTGTCCCCCTCCCCATCGCCCATGTGCTCGTCGGCCGCATCGGCGGCTCGTCTGCGCTTCCTGCGCCTCGATTCGCTACCACTGTCGCGCTCGTCGTCGGCACTGTCTCTCTTTCGCTCTTTCTTCTTTTTCTTCATCTTGTGTTTCTTCCTCTTGCCTGTGGGCGGCGCCAGGGTGCAGAGGGTGCGCATGAGGACCGCATGGGGGTCTCTGAGGAGCTCCTGGATGAGGGCCTCGTCGGGGAGCTGGGGGTGCAGAAGCTCTGCGAACCGATCCCGCCTGATCTGCTCCTGGCTCACACACATGACAGAAAGAGAGAAGGGCGTTTTGACGTATTTGTGAGTGTGTTTATCTTTTGTGTGGTCCGCCGACCTTTCTGTGCTTGGTGAATAGTTTGCACAGGATGGGGCACGTGGGGTCGGGCAGAAAGAGAGGGCAGCCGGTGCCGTACTGGTCCCTCTCGATGCAGTCGTCCAGCCAGGAGCTATGGTACACAACAACCACCTGCCACATACACACACACACACACACACACTTTGCAGAGGTCTCTTTCCCTCCCTGTGTGCCTGCCCGCCCACCTGTCGCTTGACTTCCCCCTGCCTCGTCCACTGCAGCTCAGCATAAGCTATCGGCCGCCCAACACTGCTCTCCGGATTCGGCCCCCCCACCACCCTCACCTCGTTGCCCAAACCGATAGACGACACAGCGAGGCTCCAGCCCTGACTCTCTGCCGTCGTTTGGTGGCCGTCGGCGGCCGCGTGGAGGGCCTGGCGAGCCTGGGGGAAGTGTGTCGTGACATCGGTGAGCTCCTCTTGTGAAAGGGGTGGTGGTCGGGAGGGGTCAAAGCGACAGAGGAGGTACTGCAACAGCGAAGGGGCATTGTCTTGGGAGCGGCCGACGAGGATGTGGTTGACATCTGGCGAGAAGCTGGCAACCGTCGAGTCGACGTAGTGCCCTCCCAGTCGCTCGGTCAACACCTAATGCCGGACAGGTCGGCACAGACAGACGCATAGACGCATTCAGCCGACTGCTGCTCTGCCGTGCCGCCGTTCATGTGTTCAGCTTCACCTTAGCACTGTCCTGTTCGTCTTGGCCGCAGCCCGTCATCGTCAAAACCACACGCCGGAAATCTGCCGGCCACATCCCCCCCACAGCACGTGCATCAACAATTATATAATGCATCTTCATCCATCCATCCATACTGCCCACCTGTGGGAATGGCCGCCAACGCTGCGTGGAAGTCGTAAGGAGGAGCCACCTCGCCAGCCGCCTGCTCCATCGTCCGTCAGTCCGTCAGGCTGCCATAGCCACTCTATCTACGAGCGCCTTTCATCAGTAAACCTCCTCGCAAGCCGAAGAGAAAAGAGGGGTTGTTTGCGAGCTCAAATTCTCACCAGGAAATTTCTTCTGTCCCTCTCTTTTCCCGAATTTCTTACATCTCATGTGTGTATGGTCACACAGAGGACCGGCTCATGCGAAAAAATCCCAAAACGAATTTGCCAAAAGCAAGAAAAACACAAATTCGATCCTCACTCGATCGGATCCAAGGTCGCTTCCCTCGAGGCCTCCTGGCCCTTTGTTGGCTCCACGAGATGGCTACCTCAGTGCTTCTCACACACTGCTACTGTACGAGCACTTTTGAGGAAAAAACGGCAGATGGTGGTGCGGAGTTCGCATGGGAGATCTCTCCCTTATCTCATCTCATCTATCAGTGCGTCCTTCAGCCCGAAAGATCAGCCCCAAGGACAGCATGGCGATGCAGAGGAGCCACCGCCTCACTTCGACAGCAGCCCTTATCACTTCGCCCCTTCAGCACCCGGCATCAACCACAGAAAACAAACACTTACCCAGCCTCTTCCTGACCCACAGACAGCCACTACAGCGACTTCCCTGCACTCACCGTCTTGTTGCCGCCCCGCTTGGCTGCCATTCGCCAGCCCTCCGCAGTCACTATGACCGTCTTTGCCTTGTCTGCTTCGGCCTTGCTGCTGCTGGCATGTGTGCCGCCAGCTGTCGCCCAGAGCGGTTATGGCGGTTACGGCTACACTCACGGTGTGTGCGAGAAGAAGGCTGATGTGCACTACGAGTGTCCTTACGGCTTTGAGTTCGACGCCGACTCACATAAGTGCGTCAAATACGACTACCAGGACATCAAGTACTACTGCCCTGAGGTAAGCAGACGCAAGCAGATTGAGTGTTGTGCTGGTCGGTTGATTGCTTGATTTGTTCCCTTGATTGTGGGTGCAGGGCACCAAGAAGACCGCCGAGGGCTGCGTCAAGTACGTCTATGAGAAGAAAATCCCCTACTGCAAACACGGCAAGCTCGACGGCCACAAGTGCTTCGATTACGAGTACTACCCCGTCGAGTACCAATGCCCTTACGGCTACGGCTTCACAGCCGACAAGGCCAAGTGCTACGCCGACAAGTATGAAGACAAGCTCTACAAGTGCCCTTACGGCTACGACCTGACCGACGACAAGAGCAAGTGCTTCAAGTACATCTATGCTGACCTCGAGTACTACTGCCCAGCGGTGAGTGAACACACCACGCCACACAGACAGATGGGCGTGTGTCATTCCCTCTCTCGTTTGTGTGTGTGTGTGTGCAGCATTCTTATGAGTCGCCAAAGGGGTGCAAGACGACAGCATACGAGAAGAACGTGCCATACTGCAAGCACGGCTACCTCGAGGGCCACAAGTGCGTCAAGGTCATCGACAGCTACCCATCCTACTCTCCCAAGTGCAAGGCCGGATACACGCTGCACGACGGCAAGTGTGTCAAGAAGGCCTACTATGAGGCCGACTACAAGTGCCCATCCGGCTACTCCCTCTCGAGCGACTACAGCAAGTGCTGGGCGGACAAGTATGAAGACAAGAAGACCAAGTGCCCCTACGGCTTTGAGTTCGACGACGAGACGCACAAGTGCATCAAATACGACTATGCCGACCTCGAGTACTACTGCCCAGCGGTGAGTGAGTCGAGTGAGAACATCGCCAACACGGGACTGGACGATTCTGCACACACACACTCGTCTGCGTGCGTGCCTGTCATTGCTTCAGCACTTCAAGTTGACGCCCAGGGGCTGCAAGACGACCAAATACGAAGCCAAGTCGCCTTACTGCAAGCACGGCTACCTCGAGGGCGGCAAGTGTGTGGCCAAGAAGACCTATGACGTCGACTACGAGTGCAAGTATGGGTATCAGCTGACTGATGACGGCAGCAAGTGCTATGCCAGCAAGAAGCTGAGCTACAAGTACAAGTGCCCTTATGGCTACGAGCTGCTCGAGGCCGACAAGTGCGTCAAGCCCGTCTATGCGAAGGTGGCCTACAAGTGTGCCAAGGGCAAGCTGACCTTCATCGACGCCGAGCACTCTGGCAAGAAGACCCCCGTGTGCTGCGTATACGGCTACCACAACTTTAGGGGAGGCTCCAACAGCTACCACTGACTGAGGGTGAGGGAAGGGAACACACACACGTCCTCACTGGCCTGCCTCTTTGTCTTTAAGTGATTAGTCTGCAGTATCAGCTAGTGCCTTCATCGTTTCTTTCTGTTGCTTTCTGTCACGTGATGTGTCGTTCTTGGGAGTATTCCGTGTTGTGTTGTGGTGTTTCGTGTTCCACGCCCATAGTATGGGGTTAATGAATGACATGCGCGTGGGTGTGTGGGTGGTGCATGTGTTTGTCATGGGTTGTTTGCTGGTTGATGCGATGCATGTCATGTGGTCAAGTCGATGAGATGATGTGGTGGTTTGGCGTCCCATGCGCGGCAGAGAGATAGATGAGTGTATGTATGCGTGTATGCGTGAATAAGGTCATCCATCCATCCATCGTGTGACACCCACCCCACCCGGGAGGTATAGGCAGACAGGGGCTTGGTGTGTTGTTTGTTCATGATGCCACTCACTCGAACTGCACGAGACATGACACTTCTTTGTTGATATGCGCTCTCGCCATTATTCAATGCATTGGAAGCTTAGCGAATGTGTGTCCATCAACTGCGCATGCCTGCACTGCCATTCTGCACTGCCTCGCCCCACTGCTACGGACCTGAACATCAACCCGCACGCAGACACACGCGATGAGTGATCACGGCGAATCTGATGGATCATTCGCTGCCTTACCCTCACGTCATCAACACACGCACCCAGGGCCTGGCATACGCCTAAGTCTTTCCGCCGTACTTTCCCGTCATTTGCGAGCTTATAGCTCGCAAACGTTTCAAGAGTTCTGCGCGAAGGCCGTGAAAAACCCACCTTTTGCCCATTCTTTCACTCCGCCAAGAGCGGCACATTTGAGAAGCTGGCAGGTCCCACTGAAAATGGCTTTTCCCGCTGCACCGGCGCCGTCATTGGCTCGGGCCTTGTTGCTGCTTTCCCTTCTGGTGGTCTCTCACCATGCGCATGCATCTGCCGCACCGCTGCTTCAACTCATCGAGTGGCCGTACGACACAATTATCGCCGATGAGTGCGCAAGCCTGGCTCGAGATGGCTGGACGGCAATAAACGTGACGGCCATGCAGATCAGCCCCGCCTTGAGCCACGTGAGCAGCATGGCCGCCGCATGTCAGCAAGGCTATGGATCAGCCGCAGCTGTCGACCTGAGGACAGCAAGCTGGCAGAAGAAGACCGCCTACAGGCGGCCGAGGGTGATCAAGAAGTTCCCCAACTCGGCATCATCTGCTGCCAAACCATCGTCGGGCGCAAGTACCAGCCCAGCAGCCGTCCCCCTGCCCCCGCTCCCCTACCCCGCCCCCCTCTCCCCCCCCTCCGGCCCTCTCTCAGAAGCCGATGACGGCGCCTCCTCGGCCATCGATCGTCTGCTGAGCCGGCTTGGCGACAAGGACAGGGACCAGCAGGCAGACAACACATACGCCGTGCCCCAGACACTAGCGAATCTGCCGCCCGTCAAGCCGCTGGTCGAGAGGACCACCGAGAGGAAGGACCTCTATGGCTGGGCTGACCGGCTGGCGCAGCAGACTGACCTGCCGCCACCGCCCTCATTTCCACCCATTGACGATGCCTACGACCGCCCACCGAGGAGCAGGCGCCCGGGCGGCTTTACCAGCGGCAGCAGCAGCTCGTCATCAGGTCTGGGGATGTTTCTGCCCGACTTTGGCGATGAGAAGCTTGAGAATGGCGTGGTTGTGACCGGGAGGAAACGTCGCCCGATGATAGTTGAGCTGCCGGCACCCGGCCCCCCGCGGCCGCACAGGCACGAGCAGATCATACTCAACCTGATTGAGGGCAACAGGGGCGAGGGGCTGCTTCAGGTGGGTGAGAAGGACTGACTCAATGCTGATCAGGATGCATAGCAGCGGACGCCAATGTATGTGTGGGTTTTTCGTGTGGGTGCAGGGTGCCCACTGGTTGCACCAACGCTTCAAGAAGCGTCAGTTCGTGACGAAGGACCGAGCGCGCATCTGCGCCAGTCGTCGAGGCGCCGTCGAGCGTGGATCACTCAGGGCAAGACGGAATGGCCACGGGACGATGCAGTCGCGTAAATGAGGGAGAAGGGAATGCGTGAAGACATACGGTGCTGGCGGATCCATATCATTCACAAACCTGTCCGTCCGCTGTTCGTTCAGTCTGCTGCAGAGGGAGCTGGATCTCTCCTGGAGGTCAGGTGTGTCGGCTCTCCGTCACTCTCCACCCACACCCCACCAGCCTCACCAGGCAAGAAAGACAGACAACAAAACAGCGAGCCAGCCTAAGCTGCCGACATCATCCATCCCATTCTTACACGTGTGTGTGTGTGTGTGTGTGTATGTGTCTGTGTGTGTATGTGTGCAGGGTGCCCAGCACGTCGGTGCTGCACCTGTCCTTCTTGCACACGGCCGGCAACGATGGGGGCGATGGTGTGGGGGAGGTTGAGGAGACCCACCTGCTGCTGGACCTCGGCTGTCTGTTGGCTGGCTCCAACGATGTGCGTGAGAGCGTCCTGGGCGAGCTGAAGGACGTCGTGGAGGACCCGGCCGTCACCAAAGTACTGCACAACGCCAGCCCTATCGTCATTCGGTGAGAGAGACGAAGACGGAGAGAGAGAGAGAGAGAGAGAGACGGAGACGGCCAGTCGACATCTCTGTGTCGTTGTCCTCTGTCTGTCTGTCTGTCTGTCCGCCCTCTTTTGTCAGTCTGCAGCGGGAGTGGGGTCTCTACATTGTCAACATATTCGACACCGTTGTCGCGGGACAGAGGCTCAACATGCTACCCACCAAAGTGGCGGACCGACGAAGCGTCGCTCGCAACGCCAACAACCAGCCACAGCCACAGCAGCCCCCTCTGTCCCTTGGCGGCCTCATGGAACCGGCACCGGCAGCAGAGCCACGCGACCTTGTGTCTGAGTATGTGTCGTTCGATCCGTCCCCTAGTGGGGTGTGGGATTGGAACCAGGCTGTCAAGGGGCTGGAGCACCTCTGCGCCCAATGCTGCCCTGAAATGAAAGGCGTTTTGACCATCGAGGACGACGTTGAAAGTGACGAAGGAGAACATGAGCAGCAGCAGCAGCAGCAGCTGCAGGGAGGCAGCAGTGACAGTGATCTCTCGGGCATCCTGGGCAGCACAGCAGAAGCGGCACCCGTATCTGAGTGGCATCTGATGCGGACCGAGAGCCGGGCTGTGGTGCCTGCGGACCTGCCGATGCCCCGCTCAGTGGAGCTGTCGATGATGCAGTGGGGCACCATGCTGCTGCACCTTCACCATCACCTGTCCGCCCGGCTGCGGCAGGACCACCTGGCTTTCATGGCGCGCCGTGAGGACGGGACGGGCGAGGGCGATGACGCTGATGGCGTGACCGATGATGAGCTCGACGAGGAGGAAGATAGTACGCAGGAAGGGGACGAGAGGGCTGAGAGTTCGAAGGCCGAGATGGCCCACAGGGACGCACAACAGCGACTCACGCTCAGAGAAGGTGAGTCTGGGCAGCGAGGCAGCGAGGGGATGGGGACTGGGGTCACACATTTGTGTCGTTTGTTTGGTCAGGCGTGTACCTGCCCCGATCTCGCGGCCCCCGTGTTTCGAATGCTATCGAGCTGCGAATCGCCCACCGCTCCTCAACCACAGGTGGCTATCTTTCGACACACACCGACGAACACAGGCATGACGCATACCCGTGTCTGTGTGTGTGTGTGTGTGTGCGTGCAGAACGTCCGATATCAGTCCGTTCCACCGTTACCTGTTGGCTGACGAGAGCATCCTTGAACTGAGCCAGAAGGTCCTGACCAACCTCAGAATACCCAACAAGTACCTCCCGATATGGGACGACGTCTCCGCCATGATCAAGGCCCTCCGCGACTCACACGAGGCCGTCACCCACCTGCTCGTCTCAGAAAAGAAGATCCAACGCAACGAGACCCAGCTGCGCACCATGGTCGAGTGGTGCGCCGACAGCGGCATCTTCACCATAGCAGATGTGGTCATGAACCATCTCGCCGCCATGGACGACTGCTGCGACACCGCCACGTCTCTGCCCTTCCACGACGAACACGCTGTCACAGGTCGGTGTGCGGGAGGGGGACGGGACGGACAAGTCTGTCACCGCGTACCCCACGTCATGTCCGCATCTGTCTGTCTGGTGGGCTGGCTGGCTGGCTGGGTTGTGTCATGTCAGGCAACCTGAATGTGTTCAAGAACCCCTGTTTCGACTCCTGCGCCACACACATGTGTGTGTTTGAGGCGGTCTGTCAACGTACTGCTGGATGGTGCGGAAGGCTCCAGTCGCCACTGACGCAGTGTCTTGACAGGCCTGAGCTGCTGTACTGTGTCAAGGGCTCGAGGCCGCACCCAAACCAACTCAGCGGCTCTGACCTCCATGGTGATCTACTCACCCACCTCAGTGTGTCAGCGGCTCCACCTCCACCTACCTTCACCCACGACACACTGAACACTGATGCGTCTTCTCTCTCCCTCTCTCCCTTTGTGTGTGTGTGTGTCAGGTCACCAGCCCACGCCCGACCCGCCCGGTGACCCATCAGACAGTGGGTTTCAGCTCGGCAGTCGGCCCGCCGACGGCCCCCCGCCGCAATCGCCGCGGTCAGCAGGTCTCGGCCGGCTGCCGCGTTTTACTAAGAAGCTCAAGAAGGGGAGCACTGGCAGCCTTTTGCGCAATCATGACGAGTTCGGGGGAGAGGACGTCAGCGCCAACGTCAAGACCAGCCTGACAGAGCAACGTGACGAGCTCACGGGCCGCGTCAGCAAGCTGGAGGCGGAGGTGCGCTCTCTCGTTCAGGGTCTCCATGAACGCGGCGTCCTCCCCTCCGGCAGTGCCGCACAGACCCCAAGCAGCCCCTCCACACCCACCAACGGCGCACCCCACCCCCACCACACGGCAACACCGACCGCCCAGGGCGACACGACCTACTGGAAACGAGTTGGGGCGATGGCGGCACTGGGCACGGTCGCAATCTTGGGTTCTGTGGTCGTGTTGACAAGCCTGATGTGGTGAGTGAGTGCCTTAGCAAACGACATACACAGAGAGAGGGGTCTCCCTCACGCGGCCATGAATGCGTGTCGTGTGGTGTGGAGCAGGCTTGTGTGCCGCCTTATCGAGACCCACATGAACGAAGCGGCCTCTCGAACACAGGTAACAAGAGACTCTCACTCACATCGAGCGACATGCAATCATCAGAGGACTCTTCCCGATTTCCTCAGGTCGCCTCCCAGCAGCAGCAGGTGACTAGGCTGCAGGCGAGCATCAACGATATGCGGCAGCTAACCCGCCAGCTCCGCCAGCAGCTCGCCGACAAGGCCGAGAAGGCGTTGCCCACGCCTCCCTCGCCACCCAGCCCCCAGCCGCCCACCACCCCCATCATGGCAGCTGCCGCCACCGTGGACGGGAGCTCGTCCGTCGCCCGGAGTGTGTCGCCAGCCATGAGCGATGACGAGGCGCCGCCCATTCCCGCCATCCCCCCTCCGCCCAAGGCATGCCGCCTGCGTCGCCGCCAGACCTGCGTGCTGCCGCATGAGCAGTCGGCGCAGCAGCTGCCGCCCCCAGCAGCACCCGCATCGGCCGACCGGGCCTTCCGATGGAAGGAGATCGGGGAGGGAGCCTGGGCTGAGATCCGGGAGGTGAGTCACGACGTTCAATCCAGTAATGCACCCACATGACCGGCCGTGTCTATCGGATGTCTACCTTCCTGCCTGCCTGCAGGAGGATGCTTGGGGGGGCTCCTTCGCCGGCGAGCCCGTCAATATGGCGGACGTGGGGGCCCAGGCTGAGGGGGAAGCTGCCCACCCTGCGGTGCCGCAAGTGAGTGAGAAATATACATGGCAAGGAGTGCCCCAATGAACAGAGCAGACCACTCATTGTGTGTCTGTGTGGGTGTCATCCGATAGATCCATTATGTGATCGCCCATCCAGTGCACCCAGCGGTGGCCGCAGCCCGGGCTCCCGCGCCCATGCCCGCGCCCTTCCTTTGCTGATGGCTGTCGGGGCGGAGCGCGGGGCGGAGCGCTTGGTGGCGTATTTGTTGCTTAGACTGGACTGTCGCAACGTGTCGGCAGCTGAATTGCCTGCGTAGCTAGTGTCGATACCGAGTATTTGTGAGGTCTGTCCGTCTGTTTGTCGCGTGTTCTCGTGGGTGAGTGCCTGCCTGCCTGCCTGCCTGTCTGCAGTCGTCCATTTATGGGTTTCTTTTATCCATCTGTGTCCACACGGATGGGATGGTAGTATTTATGAGTCTTGCCATAGCGCTGAAGGAGTGGCTGTCTGCGTGTCGGTCTGCCGAGGGTACTCACACCATATGATGTCGTGTGTGACAGTGGCGCACTTGTGCACTACAGAGAGATAGCTTTCTCGACTAGCCCGCACACTGCACGTGCACAGGAAGCCAAGCCACTGACCGTGTCTGTGGATGCAATTTGTGTGGATGAGATGTCTGCCTGTTTTGGCGCTCGTCGCGTGAGGAGTTTTCTTTCCTGCTGACATACATGGGCTGGTTGAGCTGGGCAACGCGTGTGTCGGGCATATACAACGTGGACTGACTTATCGCGTCAATGCAATGCTCGTCGACACACCACCATGCTCAAAGAACTCCTCCTCCGTCAAACGCACATGCTAGTCTCGTCCAAATGAATGCCAAGTGTCTTCATGAGGACGCCGAATGAATGAATGAATACACGCCATCCATCCATCCATCCACCCAGCCGGCGTCAACAATCAGGTTTGTCTCCGTTTCCCCACCATATTTCCTCTCATCCTTGCGGTTAAGACCATTCCCAGCCCTGAGGCCTTCCAGCGCCATGAGGAAAATCCCGAAGAGACGCCGATCGCCATGGGGGCCTGGTGGGGGTCTCTCCGTCTTTCTTGTTAAAGAAATGGCGTCAGCTCCACCTCGTTATTCGGGTCCACCTCCTGGTTATGACTCACCCACAGGGGCAGCCCCGTCCTTTGACAGCCACGCCAACATCAATGGCAAGCCTACACAGGCCGCACAGCCGGTGCAGCAGCAGCCCGTCATCATCGTGCAGCAGCAGCCTGCCCAGCCCGGACTCCAGCAGCCGTTCGGTCAGCCTCAGGTGCAGCCCTACGCTCCTGGGCCACCAGCAAGGCCATACCAGGCGACGCAGGTCATTTCCTGCAAGCCCCACATACGCCTTTCATCTGTCTTTATGCATGTGTATTTGTGTGGTCTGTATGCTATTTGTTTGTGCAGCCGTACCAGTCACCCTATGCCGTTGGCGTTCAGCCGCAGGTGTACGGCCAGGGCCCTTACGCAGCCGCACCCCAACCGCCACCGCCACAACCAGTGCAGGTTGGGTCGCCTGGTGGGGCGCAGAGTGCCGTTGACTGCTGGAAAAGGACCATACTCACGCCAGACGGAAAGGTAGGGACGCGATATATTCTGTACACCATGAATGGGCCAGCCAGCCAGGTGCGCTTTTCTGTGTGTCGCGACAGAAGCTCAAGCCAGCGGCGATTGTGTGTTTCACACTCTTCTCTGTGGCCATCATGGTGGCCTTCATCGGCGGGATACTTGGTGCCGCTTTGGGTAACCGCTCATCCTCGTCATCGAGCTCCTCGTCTGTCCGCAGCACCACGCGGAGGCCAACCACCACCACCACCACTACCACTACCACCACCCAGGCCCCCCCCACTACAACAAGCCTTGTCATCCAGTCAGCAAACACCAAAGAGCCCTGGCTGCAGCAAATGGTGCGACGAAAGAAGATGCTGACACATCTGCCGGATATTGATTGGCTGGCTGGCTGGATGGAATCAGGTGGATGACTATAATGCCGCCAGTATGAGGGTCAACAACAAGCAGGTGGTGGTGACGGTGCACCACACGGGCAGCACGCTGGACCAGTCGCTGCTGCCACAGATCTGGTCGCCCGCCAACAGGCTGTGGGTGAGATCAAAAAACGAAGAGGGCTCAGTCCTCGTCACTGACATAGAGTGAGTGAGTGGGTGGGTGGCGCATTCATCCGCTAGGCGTGTGCGAGTGATACGTGTGTGGTGTCTCTTTTCTTTGTGCGCAGCACCAAGTGCAGCTCGACAACAAACATGTGAGTGAGGATGGAATGCACAGGAGAAGGAATGAAAAAATACCATTCACGGTCTCCTCTCCTCATCCAATCCAATGTGTGCTCTTGTTTTTGGCAGCCCGCTTGGTTTAGCCATGTGGCGCAAGTAACTGCCCGAGACACGTATGCCACTGACGGGCGTTAGCAGTTTGCCTGTCTCACTGTGTGGGTGTAGGTTTGCAGAGGCACTGGGTTGGCCTGATGCAGACATAAGCTGGAGACGGATCGCCGATTTGGCCAAGAACGAGAGTGGCTGGGCGACCGTGAACGAGTCTCTGGCCGGCAGGGGCAGGTTTGCGTATGGTCACGGCCACCCCGAGAGCAGCAACAGCGGCCGCTTAAGCCTTCTGGCGTCCATATACGCATATAAGGGGGACGATCAGGTGCTGCAGGCAAATGACCTGAACGGTGATGCAGAAAAGATAGGATACACAGTCGCACGAGACATGTGACTTATGCCCCTGGCTTGACAGATCCTGCAATTATTGAGGACATCAGGTCGCTTGCGAGGGGCGTCACCCACATGGGGAAGGTACCCAGCCGATGGATAGTCGATTGGTCGCTTGAAGGAGACAATTCTGCATATATATGTGTCCCTGCTTCATCGCACAGATCGACACAGATATACTGGCAAGGTACAATACAAGGAGCTTCCTCGAAGGACTGGATTAATCCATGGCTTTTGTGTGCGGCTGGACCAGGATGGTGCAGAATGGGCCGGGATATCTGCATGCCGTGGCGAATTATGAGTCCAATGTGGTGAGCGAGTGACCAAAGATGGACGGACTTCCCATGGCTCGTGTTGTGTCCGTTCTGACTGAGCGGTGTGTCCCTCCACTGACTGACTTTGCTGCAGATAAATTGGAACAAAAACAACAACACCAAAGGTCGGTGAGACACACGGACACGGACTTGGCTGGCGGCAGGAGGCGACAGCGGTGTCTTCTCTTTGTCTGTGAACGCGTGTGGAACACGAATGCCGTGCAGCGGCTTGGAACGATGGTGAGCCAGCAAAACGCCGACCAAACAACCGGCCAGCGTGGTACGAGTGGGGGTCTGTCTGTCTGTCCACTGATTGTTCAGATTTTGTCTTCATCTACCCGTCTGACGGAACCTACTACATGGACCACCCGTTGTGCATACTCGTAAGCCACACTCCATCCACAGCCCCATGCCCAAGGTACATGTATCATCCAGACTGCCCGCTGCGTATGTGTTGATGCATCAGGACGGCGCATCGTGGACCAGCACCGAACAGGTGGGTGAGACACATAACTGTCGATGGTATCCACGCACCAGTGTGCTCGCACAAAAGGTGGCAGCGGCCGAGAGTTTCATCGCTTATGCGACTGACTCGGGTGGGTTGGCCACCAATAAATACCACAGTTGGCATTGTTGTATCTATTGCATGCTTCCCTCCCTCGCACGATTGCAACACCCACCAGACAGGGCTGATGGCTTGCTGGACTACGGCATCAGAGCGTGGGATTCAACGAGGGAAATATCCCCAGCAGGTCATCGATCGATCGATCGATCGATCGATATCAAGGCGTTTTGAACAGACAGCCCATGTCATTTGTGTCTCTGTCGAGCAGGCACGGCCCCCTTTCTGCTCGAGAATGGTGTGATACCGGCCAAGCAGACGCCTCAGCTGTAAGCCTCTCATATGACGGACGTGCCACGTGCATGAGCAGAAAGCTTTTGATGTCAGGCCCTTCCCCACCACAAGCGTGATTGACGCCGTCATCACCACATGGAAGGCCAACAAAAAGCCCGCCGTGGTGGTGCTGGTGCTAGACGTCTCCGGTTCTATGACTGGGTCCAAGACTGCTGAGATGAAAGCAGGTAGGGTAGGTTACTTACTTTGCGCACACAGCATTCGTGCGCTGGTGTCTTGTCTCCTGTCTGCCAGCCGTGCGTGACTTTCTGGGCGCCATGCAGGACCATGATGAGGTAGGCCACAAGCTAGAATGCTGACAGGTTCATCGACTGAGTGCGCTTGCCTGGTGTGTGTTTCCACAAAGCTGTATCTCATTCGCTTCAACTTCGAGGTGGTTTTTCTTGAGCAGCAGTCAGGTATGAGCAGCGTACACAGAGAGAGACACGCATGCAAGGGAGGGAGGGGGAATTGCGCCTTAATCGGCTTACGACTGCAGGGCTGATAAGAGACAAGAGGCAAGCTCTTCTTAATGAGGTCGATGACCTCTTGATTGGTAGGATCCTGGCGAGCCGATACAGACACAGGGCAAACGTTGAGCGCACCACACACCAATGGACCCCCATGCACTGTCCTGTTCAATGATTCAGGGTCAACGACGGCTTTATACAACGCCACGAGGGACGCCATCGACCTCATCAATGACAAGAGGAACAATATCAGCGACACATTCGACAAGTCCTGGGACATCGTGCTCATGACTGACGGCGTGGACTCAAGGGACGCTGGGCACATTAGCAAGGAGGATGTGTACAACGTCCTGCCGAACCAGGAGTCGTCTGATGCGGTACACATATACACGGTCGGCTTCGACCTCAGCAATATGAATGAAGCCCAGAGGGAAGAGGCCACAGAATATCTTCGCCAAATCGCAGAGGTGAGTTTTCCTCTTTCTTTCCCCCTTCCATCGACCATCGTATCTCCTGACGTCACTTGCATCAACGTTTCCTGCATTCTTCTGACTGTCTGTCTGTCTGTCTGTCTGTTCCATGGGTGCAGGAGACAAATGGCAAATACTTCGACTCTAGTGTTGGGAATCTTGCTGACGTGTACACTTTGATCTCTCTCGAGTTTTGATGCATTCTCAGATGGATCATCCAACCGGCTTTCTAGACCCCTAGGTAGACTACTAGCTGTATGTGATGGAGACACAACCATACGAGTTGAGCCGAGCCCTTTCTGCAAAAGAAAGGGCCTGTCTGTTGGTGCATGAGGGTTTGTGTGGGGAGTGCATTTGTGTATGTGTGTGTACACGCAATGACCGGTGGGGGTCGTCAGTGCATCCTAACTTTATTGCCATGCGGATGTTGATGTTTGAATGGTCTTGTAACATCGCTTTCCACCGCATCAATTCTATTCTGCCCTTCTGCGAGGAGACAAAAGACAGCGACTGCAGGAGACAGCGCGAGCAGGAAAACCCCGTAAGACTGGCGAGAGTGAGAATCTGACGCTGACAAGACGGCCAGGGTAGGGGTGCAAGGACATGCTGAAGGTGCCCCACGGACCTCGAGGCCATCGGCTGCCCTCTCAGTCTGCCCGAGAGCGAGTGGGTGGGCAGGCGGCGATGGGTGCATAGGTGGAGACACAGGAGCAGGCTTTTGGGTCGCAGCGTACATTTCAAATCCTCTAAATGTCTTTCATCCACTACATGTCTGTCTCCTAGCTTGCCTTTCGTAGCCATCCACTCGACTGACTTCTGCCGTGTACCCTGTGCGTGTGAGAGATATCGAGATGTTGCGAATATTATATTGCCTCTGAGATCTGGAAGCTGATTGCCGTCACCACTAATCTAATCGATGAAATGCCACACAAGAGTCATGACGTGAAGTCACTCATACAGCCAGCCATTGAGCCTAACCTACTCTGTCCTTGTTTCTTTCTGATGACAAATACATACATGTACGCACCTAACCTACGACGTCATGAATGCGATAAATCAACACGCAAAAATGCATTTGGCGCACCGCGCTATCGACGCTGACATGCAACGGCTATTTTCCCTCTTGCAAGCCATCCCATCAACAGCAGTCAGTCTCCCCCGCCGTCGTATAGGAAGGAGAGCAGCCTCCAGACGTCCTTGCTCAGCATCAGAGGCTCCGCCAGCTCAGCATTGGGTCGCGATGGGTCGATCCGGAAGAGCGACCGCAGCCACCTCTGCTCATCCGGCTGCAGGCGCGAGTCCAACACGTGAGCCAGCGACACACTCGTGAACCTCTCCTGACAACATACACACGAGAAACACACACACAAATGCATCACCTCGCTAGATGGACGCTGCCTGTGATCTGCCACCCACCTGTTTGAGTCGCTCCGCGAGTGGCTCCAGCCCCTGGCCCGTCTTGAGCATGTCATACAGCTCGCCCACAGCCAACACATCCTCCGCAGCCAGAGGATTGTGACAATCATCGCCCTCCCGGCTGCTCTCGAGCACCTCCGCAATGTCGCCGTGGCTGACACCGCCCCTCGTCTCCGCCAGCCGACGGACCTGCCTCAGCGTCAAATAGATGGTAATCATGGGGCCCACGCGCGTGACGGGAAGAAGCGCGTGTCGCATGTCGGCTGCGGGGCGCAGGTGGAGTGCGAGAGGGAGGGGGCCGGCGAGATCGTCGAGGAGATGTTGGGGCGTGTAGCCGCTGCAGTCAGAAGAGGATAAGAGACTGCCGCTTGATGCCGAAGACGATGAGCCCTCCTTGCTTGTCTGTTGATAGACAAATAGACACAGACATCCAGCCAGTGTGTCATCCCTCTCTCTCTCTCCTCGGTCTGTCCCCCTTACTTTGCCCGTGGTGAGAGCGTCAGCCACCTTGTTGACCTCTAGGCACGGGTGGCTCGACAGAATGAAGTGCAGGTCGTCGACCGTCATCGCATCCCACGCCACTCGGCCATCGTCACCCTCCCCGCTGTCCATCTGCTCGTCTCCATCCCCCTCTTGCCCTTCCTCGCCCATGCTGGCGGCTTCTGATTTGGGCGCCTGTCTTGCACGGGCCCAGAACTCATCGTCGTTCTCCTCTTTGACCTTCCCATCCTCGGGCGAGTTGCCGAAGTACTCATCGTCGTTCTCCTCTTTGACCTTCCCATCCTCGCGCGAGTCGCCGAAGAAGCCCTCGAAGTATGCGCCATTGCTGGACTTGGCTTCGCGGGGATGCTCTGAGTCACGCGAGCGGGCGCTTGGAGGGCCGGGACCGGAGGGGCGGTGGTGGTGCTGGGGCGCAATAGGGGGAGCAGAGGCAGCGGCCGGTGTGATGGGCGAATGGGTGAAAGACGCCTTGGGGGCGTCAGGGTGGTTAGCCGGACGGGCCACCGGGGGCTGGTGATCTGCTGCAGGGGACCGGGCGGGGGCGGGGCCGGGGGGAGCTTGTGTTGGTGGGCGGGGGACCAGGTCATTCGTGGGCTCAAAGTGGAGATCATCGCTGAGGAACAAAACCAGATGGATGGATGTCGAGTTAAGACAACGTATGTGCGCAACTCACCGGTTCGGCGGCAGGAGGAAGGCTCTCGCGTTGGGTAGTGCGTCCAACAAGTGACGCGCCATGTTGACAGCGTCGGACGGCCTACAGCCCAGCACAACACGGACCTGACGACCCTCTTCAAGCAGGGGCAACCTAATAGGACAGAACATTCATAAAACGGAGGTCGGCCGCCAGTCCTTGCCGCCCTCCTTCATTTCGTCTGCCTGTCGGCCTGTCTGGATGTCTGTCTCTCTGCCTGCCTGTCTGTCTATCTGAGTGGCCGACCCTTCTTTGTTGTCCCAGCGAAACACCAGTGCAGCCCTGTTCCTTTTCAGGTGCTCCAATATCTCGTCCGGATCGACATCCCTGTGGTCCGATACGACGAACACTGCACGGCCCTGCCGGAGCACACACCGTCTGCAAGCAAGGCAGGCACACAGACACACACAGATGCTGCCTGATCGATGGAGGCCATGCACAGCTCTGTACCTGTCTCTCAGATCGCCGCTTCTGATGGACGGAAAACTGGTGTCATCATCCTTCGATGCCCTCTTAAACGTCCTGCAATTGGCCCACAGGAGCTTGATGCACCATGCCCGTGATATTGGAGTCCCTGCCGAACACACACACACACACACACACGCACACACATACACTCAGCAATCAATGGTCGGTGTGCACCAGGGTGCACACACCAAGTATGACCACGCTGCTGGCCGAGTCCCCCAGCACCACGATGGCGCAGTTGGTAACGTCCTGGAACACCTTAGCCGCTTTGAGCAGGTTGCCCACATAGTCACTGCCGACGAAGCACTGCTGTGGCGCGATGCTGCTGTCGTCCTGCTCTGCCTCGATGATGCCCTCCTCTCTGTCGAGATCGGGCAGTTTGTCGACAGGCCGGTATGGGACGGAGTACTGGGGGTAGGTGCCGCACCGGACTTTCTCCACCTGTCTCATCACCTCCAGGGCGAACAGCTGACGCGCAAAACTGCATCAACACACATGCACAGACGGGGAGCCGGGGCGGCCATGGCTGTGGCGGATGCCACGGTGGAATGAATGGCTTGCTTACCTCTGCCCGAATATGGCAAAGAGGACAACTTGGCCAGGCGCGCCTTCCGCGTGGAACTTGGATCCAGGCTGACACAAGGAAGCAACGAACACAAGTCACGCAATTGTTGCGCCCCCCCGGGCCTCATCCATCTCCACCTCCTCACCTGCAGCGGGACCTTCGGATCCACACAGAATGCCTGCACCCCTCTGCTGGGCCTCTCCAGCATACCCTCGATATTCCTCAGACAGTCCCATGGCACCGACAGCACAGTGAACCGATCAGCGTGTTCGTCACGAATCTCGGCCAGCCAGGGCACATCGATGGGCTTGTCCACTGGCAGCCTGCGGCGCTCCCTCTCTCGAGCGGGAGAACGGTCTGACGCACACACGAGCAGCGCAGAAACAACAAGAAAAGAACGTTCCTGGTCTGTCTGTCTGTGTGGACATGACAGCTGTCCATACCTCGTCCGTATGGTGTCGGTGATCGTGATCTTGATCTCCGTCTGCCTGAGCGTGATCTGCTCGTGAACCGAGGCGGTGAGCGAGATGCTCTCCGTCTGGGCGGCGGTGATCTGGGCGGCGGTGAGCGAGATGCTCTCCGTCTGGGCGGCGGTGATCTGGGCGGCGGTGATCTGGGCGGCGGTGACCGCCCCCGACGAACCCATCGAGGGGAGAGAGGACTAGGGGAACGTCGACGTGAGCCATTCTGCCCCTGCCTCCTCATTGAGATCTTCCTCCCCACTGCCTCGCGAGCTCGCATGGATCGGATTCATTCCGTGGTCTGTCCGTGGCACAATAAACATTTGCCATGCTGCATGCACACCCACGTACCTTTCGACAAAGACCTACTCAGTGTAGTTCTCACTCACTCGTCAACATGCAGACATCCCAACCGCACACACACACCTGTCTGTCTGTCTGTCTGTCTGTTTGTCTGTCTGCGCCTGTCTGCGTCCTATCCAACTCACTGCCTGGCCGGCTCCAACACGCCATGCTTCATCAGCGCTGAGAGGATCAGCCGCACATGCCACTGGAAGACGCGCACACGAAGGCCATCTGGCTGGGACAGCATCAGACTCTCAAGGAATCGCTGCTCACGGATGTCCCGCACACCGCCGCTGCACAGCCGGAGCGGTGTTGTCTGTACAGCATCGCGACACACCACACGCACAGAGGTCCGCTGGCTATAGACATGAACACACACACATCGATAGAGAGAATCCTCTGCGATGGCTCAAATGCACCCGCCACCCCCAGTGGTCTGATAGACTCTGTGCGCACACCCAGAGACACAAACGAGTCGCCGGCTTCCACACAGACACACATGTGGATGAATGGATGCAGCGGCGGCGATGAAGCACTCGGCCATGCGACGTGTCAATGCAGCGCAGACAGGTCTGTCTCACATACACACACACAGGTGTTTGCCTGTCTGCCTCCCTCAACAGTCATCACGTCGGTCGTGAGTTCATCATGACGGAGGCGACGGCACTCACCCACTGCCACCCAGCAGACGGCTGAACACACACACAGGGAGACGGATCATTCATCGTGTGTGTCTGTCTTCCTTCTCTTCCCCTGACCTTCAGTGTGTAGATCTCCATATCGGCAGCCGTGAAGTCGACGATGAGGCCAAGCTGACGTTCCCCGTGTTGGTGATGGTCCCGATGTACTTTTTGTCGGCCGGCAGCTCATCCCTGTGGCCGTGATAGCCGATCCCCGGCCACAGGCGGCCATTGGCGATGCACACCTTGCCGCATGGCTCACCGTCCCTGTTCATCACCGCCCCCTTGGTGCCCGCCACCGTCACGTCCTGATTGTCCTCGGGCACCTCGATCTTGATGATACCGTCTTCCTCGAATGCGCCGCACACCGAGAAGAGCGACACAGCACAGCGGGTCGTCGCTAGGGCCGTCGCCTCTGCAGTGGGGTCGGGGGCCCTCGATGTGGGAGGCGATGATGGGGCCGCTGGGGTCTTTGAGGAGCAGCAGGAGGTCGGTGGCGTCGCCCACATTCTTGAACACGGCCTCGGGCTCCCAGCCGTCACGCTCACCCCTGACACATAGACACGAAAGCACCACAGGGATATCACTCACGAGTTACCATAAGCCTCCCTGTCATCGGTTGCTCACTTGTAGAGGAGTTTTGGCTTTGCGTCCGTCATGCCAGTCGCGTCGACGTGTGCTTGCATGTCGGACTAAGACACGATGGGGTCGACCGGCAGCCCACTCCACACCTGCACACAGCCAGAAGAAGAATCTCATGATGTCTACAGCCATTTGTGTGCCTCTGGTTGATGCCTGGCTGACTTACCTGGAAGACCTCCACACGCTGGGCGGTGAAGTTGTGGGTCTCAGCCCCACAGAGGCTCGCGGCCTTGCTGCTGATGGTCTTGCCCACAAATTTCCTGCTGGCCGGCAGCTCCTTCTTCAACACCCACTGACGACAGTGAGAAGGTCGTCAGTCGGGCCGTCCTTGCCATACCCCAGCCACACGCGACCGCCAGCGATGGCCACCTTGCCGGTGTTGTCGCACTTGATGACGAACAGGAGGCCGCGCCGCCCCACCACACGCTGCACCAGACTGGCATACGACGAACCGTGCAGCGAACTCCTGACACACACATACGCATAGAGAATGGCGTGATGCCCTTCGTTTGTCTGTTCTCACTTGAAGAGGCATGTCATCTTAGGTTGTTTCTTGCCGGTCATGATGAGGACTGCATGACGTCTTTGGCGAGGATGTTGGGGTACATGGCCTCGAGGACGCCGTACATCTCACTCACACGCACCAGCTCACCCTCGTTGGCACACGAGGGCGGCGGGACGGCGCTTTCGGGGGAGAGGCGACACCGACGAGCGACGTCGACGATCCTGAAGACATCAACACACGAACAGATGCCCTCTGTTGCTGCCTCTGGTGGTTGTCTGGGTACTTACAGGTCGATGGGGGTGCGACCATACCTGCACACGTGACATAGAGGAGAGGAAGGTGAACAAACCACAACAGCCTCCCCATTTCATCTCCCCTGTTCCTTCACTCGACCTGAGTAGACTGGGCGCGGGCGGTAGTCACGCAGGCCGTGTGGTTGAGGGCGTTGAAAGGCTATGATATGTCCACCAATATCAAATGTAGACAGCGATCGGATGAGCCTGCTTAGAGACACATACAGAGACATGACCGAAGGAATCCTCCTGTCTCCTCACACACTATCCCCAGCTCAACTCACCACAGACGCCCACCCCTCTTGCTCCCGCTGCCACGCCATCAGCTTGTCAGGCTGTCACGCCTTTCAAGAAATCCATACACATCGTGCTTTCGGATGCTGCACGAGTTGTGTGGCTGCCCAGTGTTGCGTGTACCTCCTGGGCGTCGATGAGCAGAAATTTCTGTTGGTTGAACACGGCCTTCATGGCAGTGGTGGCGAGGGCCCAGATGTCTGCCTCGTCCCACGTGTCGCTGGTCACGACATCGTCCCTCATGAAGTGCTCCAGCGTCTCAGAGGTTGGCTTGCCGGAAATTCAATTAAGGCCGTCCTGTGTGGCTGCGACGCTGGCGTCAACGAAGAGCCCCAATGCTGGCTGGGATCAGAAGAAAAGATATGTCCACGGATATAAAATGAAGGCAGCGATGCACTGCGGCTGAAAACAGATATCACAGACAGAGACATGGCAGCACAGGCAGTCACATCGGTCAAAGAAGCTGTATCACATCTTCGATGCCCATACCTTCTCTCAAAGACCGATGGTGGCTCAAGTACATCGCCTCACACTGTCAATACAGCACCCGCCCCACCACCTCCTCCGTGCCGTCACAAGAAGGCCCGGCAACGTCTGCGACGGAACAGCGGACAGACACACAAAGGTAAACAGACACGTGTATGATATCGACCGCTCGCAGAGGGCCGATGCAAGCCGTGTGTGTTTCTTTTCACTTGATTATGGTGTCTATGGCCTCCCTCTCCTCCTCACACAGATGCATCCCCCACCTAATCAGCGCCTGTGCCATGGCCAGGTCCTTCTCCCCTCCTCCAACTTAGCCGCTTGTCCACCGCCCCCATCATTATTGGATTGGCGCTGAACTGTACCTGCTCCGTGCCGCGTAGGACTACGTCGATGTACCTGCACCACATCAGACACAGAGACACCGACGGCGGCTCTCCACCATTGCTCTTGACTGTGCCAATCCCTCATTATTGGATTGGCGCTGAACTGTACCTGCTCCG